AATTTAATATAAAAATTAAATTTTCTATAAGGCCCCAGGACCTCGTTACCTTCTGGGCGGCCCTGATGATACTAAAAAAAATCACTTTTCTTAATTTCCCCCTCCTGCAAACACTTCCTAGAACGTTTTAAATTATAGAATAATTAACCGCTCTCTCTCACTGTTTACTTGCAAAAATTTAGGTCGTTACACATCTTTTAATTCGTATAAAATTGGGTCATTTTAATAAACATTCTACGAATCACGTCATTCTAATAAATTTTATATTAACTTTAACCGCGACCACGTGAACTTTAAGAAAGGGGGGAGGAGAACTAAAGCGGCACTTTGCCAAAACTAGAGTCGCCATCTTCTGTCGTGTTAGGCAATTTTACGAGAAAGATTATTATTACTTTGTAAATAATTTTAGATAATTATTTATTATTTAAAGCACCCGGATACGGCAGGAAAGGCCCTACAATTAATGGCGTGAAAGGGAGATACCATATCGGTGACGTGATCGAATTAAATTGCACTTCAATAATGCATCCCAAACCGCAGTTGCAATGGATCATAAACAATAAAGTGGTGAGTCTTGACCAAATTAATGATGATTCATTTATAATTATAATGTAAATCGAAAGTTTTTGTTAAAATTTAGGCATCCCCAGAACACGTTATAATATACAAAGTGGAGGAATCGAACAAGTCGTTGTTAGGTCTACGGTTCCAAATTTTTCAGCACCATTTTGTGGAGGACCAATTACGTATCAATTGTACTGCTAAATTATCTGTAGTTAAAACTTCGAAAACAGAGCAAAATATATCAGGAAGCAGTCAGTATACGTCGGGTTTGCAAATGTCTGACAGCAGAGGAGGTAAGATAATTCCTTCACATCCCTCCTATGTTTCGGAGTTAAATTTTCTTAAAACTTGTATTCTTTTTTAAAAATTTTAAAGAAATTTTATAATTATTTGAATATAAAATCGAAATTTTTTATCGAATTTTAGCCAATTGCGTTTAAGAATTTAAAATTTAAATTGAATTTTTAGAAATAATTTCACATTGGTTAATCAATTTCAAATAACGGCTTTAATATCCAATCGGCTTTGATCATTTAAATTTTTAAATCTTAAAATAATGAAATAGGAGCTAAACTTTGATTCTTATTGGTTAAAAATATTTTATATTTAAATTATATTTTAAAAAATTAACTTTTAAAAGAGCGGAATGAATACAACCACTGAATACAAGTCGCGGATTCGCGCCTGACAAACGGGAACTTTTCTGAATTTTTTCACTTATCTAACACCTAAACAAGGACCAGTTTCTCATTTTTTTTATGAAAAACTGTCTCCTGTTTAGGTGTTTTAGGACACTTGAAGAAAGTCCCTCCTTGTCAGATTGCCCATGTGTTGAGTCGCCTTCCCAACACTCCTCTATTTTCTTGGAAGGAAAATAGAGATAATTAGATTTAACATACAGTATTGATGAAGCCAAAGTACATTATTATTTTCTTATTTATTTACTGCTTTACAATTTTTAATTTCAAAATTACAAGACTGTGGGGTGTAAGGTTGTATCCTATTCGATATCATTAAGTGAAGTGAATCAGAAGTGTTTACTTAAACTATTTATTTTTACTTATAAATAAACTGTTTACATTCTTGTATTTATTTATTTTGCAATTGTGAAAAATTGTAAAAAAGTTACGTAATCATTTTATGTAATAGAATCTCTACGTTTACATTCATTTGTGTTATTCAACAGTAACAATGAGAATATTCAAAAATCAATATTTTCTTCAAGAACCTCACTTGTCATACAATTATTGTTGTTATTATTGTAAAATTATCTGAGGGAGAAGATTAAACAATAATTTCTGCTTTAGAACAATATTTCATTTTATAAATAAATAAAACGATTTTATTTTTTCGGCTATTTCCAATAAGAAGGACTTTTTCAGACTCATAATGGGTTCGGCCAGGTCCACAAGGCCCACAACCATGCCAGGTCGAGAGAGACAGGCCCGACCTATCTGGGAAAGTTCATCCCCAAATATTCCTGGGATTTTGTCCTCTTGGATTCGATCCCGGACTCCCCAGAGAGGTAAATTTACACTAAAACTGGTAAATAAAAATAATTACAAGTTAATATAATTGGATAAGCAAACCAATTATGTAGTTAGTTTCAAATGAAACGGACTATGTCATTGGTTTGCTTATCTAGCTGCACTAAAGTCGCTTTACAAGGTAACGTGCCCATTGTTTTAAAGCAATAAAGTTATAAAATTTTAGTTTTGGCGCTTTAAATCATTATTTTTACATTCAGATTTGAAATGTTAATGCCCTTAATTGTATGTTTGGAGTATTGTTAGAGGGATAAGGTAAAGATTAAATATAGCTACCTGAAAATGAAGTCATTCTTAGTAGCATTCGTATTCCATTCTTCCTCCAGGCAACCTGTTTGCTACATAAGAAAATGAAAAGATTTAAAGTGGAAATATTTTCAGAAAAACGGAATCTACTCTATAAACACAATTCTTAATTTTTTAAAAAATAAATAATAAAACCAAACAAGATATTACAATCTCGTATGAGATTCCGCATACGTTGAACTCCCGTCCCTCAATATCCGCCTAATTGTGGGCCTATCTAAACCCACGAAAGGAATGGAAAGGTCTTTCTTAGTATCCATGGGGTAGAAAGAACAAACAAAGCTCATACAAAGTAACGCAACCAGGAGAGGAAACCAGGAGACCTTTAAGTAAATTAATGAAGAGAAAGGTTTGAATATGACAAATACAGTATTGTATTACATAACATTAATGGGTGGATGTACGTTTGAACGTTCTAATTCAGGCCCTCAGTTTTAGTTACTCTACAGCTTATGTATACATTAGTAACTATTCTTGCAAAGAATACAGTGAAGAAAATTACAGTATAGAATTATATAATTATTAATACATTATATTTTTTTTCTTTCAGTATACAATAATGGAACAAGAAGTCAACATATCCTGACATTAATTTTAATGTTATTGCGACTTTTGAGATTATAGTAAAAATGAACATTTTTGAAAGAAGAAAATAAGAATAAAAAAAAGAAAACAGAAGAAAAATTTAAAATAAAAAATAAAGTGATCGACTTATAGTAAAAACAAGAAATTGACTTAACGTAGTTGTGATCATAAGACGTCTTCACGTGAGAAATTTGCTCACTATCATCATTATTAAATGTTTATCATCTCTATGCAGATCGGAATTTTCTGTTATAATCATTTTCAAGTCAAGGTGTTCATCTCGTGTTAATTTCAATGTGAGAAGACGAGGGACCGGCATCATTATTTACAATTTTATCATCTATTTTATAATATATAACAAAAAAAAATCAACCACCAAAATATAAAAAAAAAAAAATCTTTGATGTTCGACGTATTGGCAGTGTGTGATGGAAAATATGGAGAAGTATCATCCGTGTACATTTATAATAATAATCACGAACTTTGTACAGAATTTTGTTTTGTGATTGTACACAGACAATCTTCTATGTAATATAAAATCATTCATTTGTATTTAGTTTGATTTCTTCCCTCCCCCACTTAAACACACAAATTGTATTTAAACTGCGAATAACATAGCACCGAAATGAGCTCACTTTATATTAAAGAGAAAAAAAAATTCTGGATAATCGAGTGAATTGTATATTTTGTAATTTAAAAAAAAAAAAGAAAAGAAAAGAAAAAATAATAGTAAAATCTAGTGTTTTATTTTGCATTGTGTTACCAACAACGTGAGTATATGTATATTCACTTAAGATTGATAGGTTGTCATATCCGTCTATTCTAGTAAATACCGAGTCTAGACTTAAAAATCATAGTTTCCTGATAAGTCTACTCTACCATTTATTATAAAATAAAATTGGAAAAAAATAGTTGTGTAAGACATAAAGGGGAAAAGCTGTACAACAGACCTTAACGAATGGTCAGGGCTGCAATGTTCCATCTTGAAAACACTTGTGACACACACACTCCTGTTGTTCGATTACAAAGAAATAGGTTTTTATGACACAACTATCAATAATCCTTTTCAACCATTTCAGACAATTTATCTTCTCGTATTGAACAATGCAATCGTGATATATATTCAGTACAACTTTCTATATCGATCGAGTCGGTGTAAAGCCACGTTTTTTTTTACCACTTACTTTTATCCCCTTTAATGTTTTAATTATCGAAAACTTAATTTGAAAATAATGCAAACAAGCTTAAATATGTTATCAATAGATGGCGCCACTTACGATTTCATTATTTTACACGAAAATAATTGTTCATTTCTTTACAGGAAGTGTCAATTTAACGTCATCGTCACATTTTCCCGTAAGAATCGCGTCAAATTGACGTAATATCGCATATACCATTCGAACAAAACGAATTTTAATTCGGGGAAATTAATCTTATTTACTTGTTTCACGGCTTGTTTATTAAATTAAGACTCCGAGAAAGTAATTATAATTTTAATATTTTAAGTAAATGACAAATAACTGTACACTATTAAACTTTTTTTTTAATTTTTTGTATAGGATCAACAAAAACTACATTAGCTGTACATAATGGAAAGTTTGGAAAAACAGTTAATAATATTTACAGCCACCTCTATGTAGAACAGCTTTATACATAGCAAAGAGAAAAGTTTTGTACTGAGCAATTTCTTCTTTATCATTCAAAAAACTGCTCTCGTTTTTCTTTTGAGCTATTCTTTGTGTACTTTTCGTATATTTCATTCTTCTGCATACAATCAAAAATTATATATATANATTTTAAACTTCTGAAATTTTTATTTAAATTAAACTTTATTCAATGAAGAAAATAAAATTGTATGAAATGAATTAAATTGGATTAAGTTTAATTTTAGTAAATTTTTATAATTTTTATTTACATTTAAACAAAAATGAACATGCATGTTATTTATTTATTTTTTGAAGTAAATAAGTTCAAGCAATCATCATTAAATCAAAATGGAAATAATTATAAAAGCAATATCAATTGTTTTGATTGTATAATAAAATAAAATGTCAAAACCATTTTAAAGATAAAAATTGAAAAAAAAAAATTTATAAGATTCTTAAACCATTTTTTGCAAGTTATAATTCATCTTAACTTACAACTTGAAGCTTTTTAGTACTGATGGTTGAAATAAATTATTCAATTTAAAATTATTATTTAGGACAATAAAATAAAATAATATTCATTTTCTCAATGTGAATCTTTGAAATCATTTAAACAACAATTTATTAAATTGTTTTTAATATTAAGAAAATGATAATAAAAATATTTTTGTAAATTTCATGAAGTTATGTAATATTATGTAATGTTTTCGGTATTTTCAAAGTTAATAAATGTAATTTTTTTTTATGTATGAATATTTTATTCCCTCATATTGCATTTCTCAAAATTTTAAAAAATTGCCAATTAATAAAGAAAAAACAATTGTAAAATTTACAGGTTTAAATATCAGGTGATATACTAACATTGTGTAAATATTAGATAATAATTTCCATTTAGCAACAGATAAAGACATAATTTGATACTAAAATTAGACAAATAATTAAATGATTGATAAATAATCCAGTATAATTTCAACAAAATGATTATTAATACCAATTTTGTTTTTTTTTTATTTAAATAAAACATTATATAAAACACTTTTTATATGCCAATTAATTCTAATTTCTGGACTAAAATGCAGATAAACTTGTATGTTTTATTAATATTTTTATGTTATTTAACAGAAATTTATTTTAAAAAATTACATAATACATATATTACTAGATAATTTTTAAACACTATTTAGTAATATAATGTTTTTATATTGTGCTACAAAATAAAAAGGATAAATTTGAGATTAAAAAATATGTATATAAGATAAAAATAATAAGGAAAATTATTGAATTATCTACATGGTTCCTAATTCAATAATTTTCCTTATTATTTTTATCTACATGGTTCCTAAATCAATTATTAAATCTATAACTACTGTACTTTATATTTAGTTATATAAAATAGAAAACTACATATACTTTAACTACCTGAAGTGCTAAGTGTGTTTGCTGAGGTGAAATTTTAATTTTATGTCCTTTTCTGCTTCTGTTTGAAGAATGAATTTCTTTGCGACCCCTGGTACTACTTGAATACCATCCTCGGGAGAAAAAGGATTTCCACCCTGATGGTGATTTCTTTAATTTGTTAGTTCCTTGTTTACTAAATTAACAAAAAAAATAAAAAATAAAAAAAAAAGGAAAACATTAAAATTTTATACAAGGATAAAAGTATTTATATTAAATATTAAGCTAAGCTTACTTGATAGGTAAATCAATAACAGTATGATACTTCTCGGGAAGATTTTGAGGTCCGCCACCAACGTCAATATATTTCTGTTGCATGGGAAGAAGATTTGCAGAAAGAGCTCTTGACCTTGCTTCTTCTAAAGATAATAATTTTGTTGGAGTAGAAATAGCTAAAGATTTTGGTCGTATTCTTTTTGGACTTCCTAAAATTTAAATAAATTATTATTAAATCATCATTAGAACTTTGATAAGTTTACAAGCAAACTAATGATAAAAAACATAATATGCACCATCTTCTAAACAAGGACTCGGGAAAGCTGGTATTCTGTCACTAAAGATTAAATCAACATATCTAATCAAATATTCAGTTAAAATTGCTTGTACACCTACGACATGTAATGCTCCAACGCCACCACCCTCTACGTCTCTAGACCTATAAAGAAATTTCATATTAAAATTNTATATATATATATATTTATACATATAAAAGTTTAAAAAAAATCATTGATCACAGGTGTTTAAACTGCAGAAAAAGTTCCACTATACACAGCGCACACTCACAAATGAAATGGAATGGAATAAATTATAATATACTTCGGATTATCCGACAATGATGACATAAATTAATTTCTCATCTTCAGGAACTAGTGGAAAATAGCTGCATAGTAATAATGAGCTATATGGAATGAGATGAAGTGAATTCACAATACAAATCACTGAAAAATCCTAACATATAATTTAAATATCACAAAAAAATTATCAATATAGAATAGTACCATATACAAATATTAATCTGAAAAACTTTTAAATATGCTTGTATACATATATATATCTTTATATAATAATTTTTTTTTCCTCTTAAATTATTTATATGAAATAATTTACTTTCAATAAAAACAAAATTATGATCAAAATTATTTTCTGACAATGATTAAAAAAATTGAATGATCACAATTAAAATATCTTTATAATGAATTATTCTTTTTGTGTGTGTGTAATTAATTTAATGGCAGATGAACTGGCATCTGTTGTCCTTGCACTCGAATCGAGTTAATCCTATTACGCTTTGCTGTACTTTTTTTTTTTGGTGAATGCTGTTAAAGTACTGGATATTTTCATAGTTGCAAAGTAATCTAGGCTTTGATAATTCTAGTTTCTTCGAAGTTAGCAATTATTTGTCCTTTAGCTAAAATTTCTTTGTGGAAATATTTAAAAATGGGAGATTAACTCGAACCGAGCGAAATGAGTATTTTAATATTGAAATAGTGGATTTGGATCTTTATAAAATATCCTTTTGGTTAGATGCTTAAGTGTTAACTATTTCTTACATCACAATAGTTTAGTAACACATAACAGTCAGGTGTATGTGATACTTAATTTTTTTTAACTTCTGTCCAATATATTCTTTTTATATATAATCTTTTTTTCTTATACAGGAAGAACAAACATTCTGACTAGGATAAATTACTGTATCATCACACAATACATTATTTTTTGGATTTTGGCACATCCAAATTACTATTTTCACATTTGATATTCGTAGTAATCTCAGATTCTTGCACCAAAGAATTTATCACAGAAGAGCATTTAGGTGTCCTTGAGGAAACTGTTGAATTTTCTTGATGTAAAGAGGAAACAGGGAACTTACTTGCTGTACCCGATGTTAATGATGAATTTAGACTCTTTTTACCGTAAACATTTGAAGGTAAATTAGTGTTAACTGGTACCTTCTGTTCGGCATACGTATGTCTGTTATTGCTTAATAATTCATTAGGTTCTGAATTTTCTTGCAATCCTTCCAAAATATTCGAATGTAATGATCTTAATTGGTCTTTTTTCTCAATGCATCTTTCTTCTCTGTTTTCAAATTTCGTACATTGGAAAGATTCTTTTCCAGATGTATGCGAATGGTGATCTTGATATGAACATTGACTGATATTGGTAGAAACTTGCAAACCATCAGATTTCTTTAACAAAGAATTACCTGTTTCATTACTAATATTTACATGACTTAAAAATGCATTTCGATTTGGTATGTCGGGAGATTCACAAATCAGTGATTTTGTAGTTTTTGATTTTTCAAAATTTAGGCTTTGAGGTCGTATTGCAATCGGAGATTTCAATGTCGTTTTACTACATATGACTTTAATGGGGGTCACTTGAGATTCTTGTGAGCAACATCTAGATAAAAGTTTACCTGTTTTCGAAGATAGAACTGAAGGCACACTTGTGGAAGAACTTGATCGTTGAACTGTAGATGATGGCTGGAATGAAAAATCAGGCAAAGAATGGTATACTTCTTGACGTTCAGATTCAGAACGAATTCTCATTCCAGAACTTTCGTTGTGTGGTTTTATGAGTGAGATCTGTAATGAAGTTGTCCCCATTTTACAGTCATTACAAATGTCCAATTGGGGTTTGGAAATTTCGGATAATTCACGTTTCACTTGCTGATGACTAGTATTACTATTATCTTTAGTAGATTTAGGTTCAAATTTTGATAACAATTCCTTAACACTAGACTTCCTTTCAAAATAAATGCATTTTGGTTCTGAAGACCGTTTTTGCTCTAAATAAATCTGTTCCGTTCTGAAACGAGATAAAATATCTTGCGGATCCGAACCACGTTTCCGATCTTTCTCAGAAGATGGAGCTGCGTGTCTTCCCGTAGAACGCCATACATCTGAACCATCATATATTCTATTTTCAGCTAATTTACTACAGGGAATTTCTTCAGAACTATGATGCCTCAATTTAGAATGTGGCCTATTATTAATAGAGGATTCTCCCGGTGATACTAATATTTGTTTTTTCAAATAATTTTTCTGACGTTCTGCCTGTATTTGTTCCATTTCTAATCTCATTTTGCGATCTCTGACAATTGTTCTCCCAATCTCAGATTCAAATTTTCTACGTGATTCTTCAACTGGAGAAACTGGAGAAAGTTTTTCTAATCCAAATTGCTTTCTTAGCGAAAATGGTGATTTATTTGCATCAATTGAAGAAAATACTCCATCTGAGAGAATAGAAGACACACGAAAAGAATTTTCTGAAGACAAGATCCTTTCATACGCTTTATGATTTACGTTATCTTTCATTTCAAAATGTACAGAATGCTTTTCTTGTGGAACATCAACAAACAAACTACTTTCAACAGACTTTTCTTTTGGTAAAATATCAGTTTTAACATCTGATGAAGAGATTTGAAAATTATCATGTTTTAATTCTGAATCTATCAAATTTACTTTTGCATTTTCAGAACTATCATTAATATCAGCTTTGTCAAAATTTGTTATATCAATTTTTCCATCAATCTGATCCTTAAAATCTATCAGATCATCATCTGGTGTTAACAGATTACTGATCACTTGATCAGTGACAGCAGAGTCCCTACTTTCAGAGGATTTTGTCATTGTTACCTTTTCTGTTTCATTTTCTGAAGTTTTATCATTTTCTTCATCTATAGTTTCTATTAACAATCTTTCACTTTCTTCAATATCATCCTTTTGATCAGCAGAACTAAAAGTAATCAATTCCATATTTTGTGTCTCTTCGCAAACTTTCATATCAGATTTTTCGACATCATTTGTTTCCTCATTGCTACTATCTTCATAAATATTATCTGATATTTTATCAGTTTCTGAACTGTTATTAGTCCTATCAAAGCTTTCGTCAGTAGAAATTTCAACAGTGCTTGGCATATCCGAAATATTGCCCATTGTGGGTGATTCTGGTGTATTTAACATGTTATCAGTTGCAGTAACTTGTAAATTACTGCTATTTTGTGCTGCACTTCCTGAATACGTGCTGTATTTAACTGAGTCGTATGACTGTAATTGTGATAAACTGAGGGTATCAGATATTGTTGCTTCCATTGACATATTCAACAATAATTCTTGTGTATCACTTAAATCTAATGAACATCTTGATGAATTTTCTTTTCCATTTTCTGAATGTTCATCATTATTCAAATGAATATCTTGATCAATCAACTCTCCATTTTCATGGAAATTTACATCATCTTTAACTTTATTATTTTCATTATCTTCTTCAGAAGAATCTTGTATAGCATGTATTTCAACAACAATAGTTTCTTCATACTGATCTCCTGAACTTTTTGATGCTTCTGTGTTGGATTCACGACAATAATGCGATGAATGATTTATACGTAATGGCGAGTGATATGGCTGAATATCTTCTGGGCTGCGGTATGCAACTACTCCATCTCCCACATGTTTTAGCAATGTCTGAGTAACTGAGACTGTCGAAGTTGCCTGTGAAGTTTGACTAACCAGGTATTCAGGTTTCATTCTTTCATTTTCAGATTTATCTTCTTTATCTTTTTCGCTCTCTAATTCTTCATCTGCAAGCTCCGAATCTTTCATTTCTGTTTCAATTTTTAAACTTTTTCTTGACTCAGATTCAATAATTTTACCATCAATTTGCTTCTGAATTTCTTTTAAACTGTTAATCTGTTTTTCTACTTCAAGATCAAGCATAGTATCATCGGTTGTTTTCTCAATAATATCAGTTTCAGTTTTGGAAATATCATCAGTAATAACTTTAAAATTTTCTAAATCTATGTTTATATTCTCATCATCTTTTTCATTTATTAATTTTTTATATTTTATTTTAGTAGATTCTGTATCACTAACACTATTTACATGAAATATAGAACTTTCTTCTTCCATTTCTTCTTCTTCTAATGGAATTCCTAAACCAGATTCAAAGTACGAATCATGAGACATGGAACGAATGTGTTTCAGATGACTAGGTGATTTAAAAGGAGAAAATTGTCCATTTTCACTCATAGTTGCTTCATCATTTGACAATTGATGAGGAGAAAACATTTTGTTCCCATCTAGAGAAAGAAAGAAAAGAAATAAATAAAAATTTATTAATGATTAACAAATAAATGGTTAGAATTTGTGTTTAAGAGAAATTTCATACAAACTATCATTAGATGAAGATTGTCTAAAACAATCTACATTTAAAAATAAAAGAGAAAAGAAAAATTTAATATTGATATTCATTCTTACCACTTGGACTAAAAGAATTTAATATTTCAGAATTACATGATGACATTCCACCTCCTAAAGACATCAGAGATTCAGCACTTTTCACAGTTCTTAATTTTGTTATATGAGAAATATCTGATTCTGTTACAGCTTTGTCCTAAAAAGGAAAATAAAAAATAAAATCAAATATTTAAAAGAAGCCTATTTATGTTTTAATTCTGTATTATATATTATTACATTACATATGCAGCAGATTCAATAAGTAAAATTAGAAGCACTGTTTAAAAAAAATAATGTAGTGTACAAGGTTAAGACTAATAATGTTGAAAGAGTATACAGCCTTTTACCAGGGCTTCTTAAACTTTTTTAATCACGACCCCATTTATGATTATTTTATATTTTTGGGTTGTGAAAAAAATCACAAAGATATATACAAATTTGCAAAAACAATAATGGTGTACTACCACGGTTCACTCTTGTATTACAATGGAACAGAGACAACTGAATACACTGAAAAGAGACAACACTACATTAGTTCACACTACAATCAGTGTAGCTGAATCATTGTCTCACTGCACCAGAAGTGACACAAAGTGCAACTCATGAAACCTATGACACAAAGCATGCCATTTTCAAACTCTCACAAATTATTTTCAATATTTTGCATTAAATTCTCGCAACCCCAAGATTTCGCTAAGCGACCCAAATGGGGTCGCAACCCATAGTTTAAGAAGCCCTGCCTTATACCAATAGCCATCCCAGACAGGTAGCATTTCTATTCACTAAGTGATTTACAAAAGGGCATAATTCACATCAAACTGAACCACAATTGAACAGCAAGCTGTTATTTGACTTTTGACAGCCAAACTCTTGCTTAGTGAGATCCATGCAGGTTGTATGCACAATAAAGTCATGCATATTGCTGCAAAAATCTTTCAAGTGGTTTCTAAAGCTCAAGGCAGGCCAAACAAACAATGACCCTCAGACTTTTAAACCCAAGCTTTTTGTAGTTACACACAAAACTTTTCATATTGTGAATACATCCTGCGATAGATCTCATCAGGACTACTGTCTTTGGCAGTCAAAAATCAAACAACAGCTCAATGTTCAATTCCAGTGCAGTTTGATATGAACAATACTATTTTGTAAATTGTGTAATAAATGTAAATGCCACTTGGCAGGGATGACTACTGGTACATGGCTGCATTACTATATACTCTTTCAATATTGTAAGTCTTAAAAAAAAATTGACTATAGTTAAATACTGACAATAATTTTACTCTTTAGCTACAATATTTTCAAAAATACTTAAACAATATGTAAAAGAATGTTTTATTACTTATAAAATTATTTATAAATTAATAATTTACTAAATAATTTTCATCAACATTTCCAAGTGAAACAAAAATATCAGAATATTTTTTTGTAATTTTTAATTTGTATAGCTAATTGAAAAAAAATCTTTTAAATGAAGAAAATATGTTTGATTTTTAATTTATCAAACATTTTTACTATAATAATTCAAATATTTCTAATCTACAAACTGTAATTTCAGAAATAATAATAAATAAATGTGTATATTGCAGCCATATAAAGTATTTAATACCTTAAAATCAAAGTATAATTATCTTTTAAATTATTATTTTCATTTAAATAATTAATTTGTAATTTTTCAACAGAGAATTAGAAGTTATACATCAAATAAATTTTAATGACTGTAGTTTTATATTATTTTAATGCAATAATATGCTTTATATGTATCTGAGAGCAATTAAATTTTTGTCAACGGACACAAAGATAAAAGAAATAATAAATCAAATTATTAACAATATCAATCAAATTAAATAGTAGATGAATTAAGTAATATTTAAAAGGATTTTTTCTTATATTTAAGAATAATTTTTCTTGTATGTAAAATAAAAAAATCTTATCCAATGCTTAAATTAACATAGTATTGTTGATTTAAGTTTATAAAAATATTCTTTTGAGTTTAATATTTTTCTTTTATAGTAACTTGTAAATATTAATTACAGTTAGTATATATATATGGACATGTGTGTCCCTATATTTCACTTTTCTGTAAAAACTACACATCGCACATGAATGCTGTTTGTATGTGGTGGTAGCCCCAAGTCTCCATTCGTGCACTATGGGGGTTGCGTCTCGATAGCTATAAGGGTGCGGGAGATATGGGGCTGAAAGTGGTTGAAAGTGGTTTTCTATTTCGAATGTTATGTTCGAATTTAATTCGAACAATATTCGAATTTGAATTTGAACATAAAATTCGAATATTGGTTCGATTATAGAACGATTGTAAACGTTCCAGAAACGTTGAAAAGAGTTCGTTTGACTGGATGTGAACAGGAGACGTTCAGAAATAGAATCGGGACCAGGTCTCTAATTAGTCTGGAAACGGGGGACCTAATTCTTGCATTCTGTGAAAACAGGTAAGATTGGCTATAATATAATTATCTTAATCTTCACTATTGTTACTTTTTGCCCACAAATAAAAACCCAGCGAAGCGGGTCCTTGCAGCTAGATTCTAGATTACTTAGAAAAAACAGTCTTTTATATATAAAAACAACTATATTACATACAAATGTACGAACAAATAAAAACCCAGTGAAGCGGGTCCTTGCAGCTAGAGTAAAATAAAAATACTAGTATCTAATTAAATAATTTAATAAGTTTAGTATTTACACAGTTTAAAATTATTTTAAACTTCTGAAATTTTTATTTAAATTAAACTTTATTCAATGAAGAAAATAAAATTGTATGAAATGAATTAAATTGGATTAAGTTTAATTTTAGTAAATTTTTATAATTTTTATTTACATTTAAACAAAAATGAACATGCATGTTATTTATTTATTTTTTGAAGTAAATAAGTTCAAGCAATCATCATTAAATCAAAATGGAAATAATTATAAAAGCAATATCAATTGTTTTGATTGTATAATAAAATAAAATGTCAAAACCATTTTAAAGATAAAAATTGAAAAAAAAAAATTTATAAGATTCTTAAACCATTTTTTGCAAGTTATAATTCATCTTAACTTACAACTTGAAGCTTTTTAGTACTGATGGTTGAAATAAATTATTCAATTTAAAATTATTATTTAGGACAATAAAATAAAATAATATTCATTTTCTCAATGTGAATCTTTGAAATCATTTAAACAACAATTTATTAAATTGTTTTTAATATTAAGAAAATGATAATAAAAATATTTTTGTAAATTTCATGAAGTTATGTAATATTATGTAATGTTTTCGGTATTTTCAAAGTTAATAAATGTAATTTTTTTTTATGTATGAATATTTTATTCCCTCATATTGCATTTCTCAAAATTTTAAAAAATTGCCAATTAATAAAGAAAAAACAATTGTAAAATTTACAGGTTTAAATATCAGGTGATATACTAACATTGTGTAAATATTAGATAATAATTTCCATTTAGCAACAGATAAAGACATAATTTGATACTAAAATTAGACAAATAATTAAATGATTGATAAATAATCCAGTATAATTTCAACAAAATGATTATTAATACCAATTTTGTTTTTTTTTTATTTAAATAAAACATTATATAAAACACTTTTTATATGCCAATTAATTCTAATTTCTGGACTAAAATGCAGATAAACTTGTATGTTTTATTAATATTTTTATGTTATTTAACAGAAATTTATTTTAAAAAATTACATAATACATATATTACTAGATAATTTTTAAACACTATTTAGTAATATAATGTTTTTATATTGTGCTACAAAATAAAAAGGATAAATTTGAGATTAAAAAATATGTATATAAGATAAAAATAATAAGGAAAATTATTGAATTATCTACATGGCTCCTAATTCAATAATTTTCCTTATTATTTTTATCTACATGGTTCCTAAATCAATTATTAAATCTATAACTACTGTACTTTATATTTAGTTATATAAAATAGAAAACTACATATACTTTAACTACCTGAAGTGCTAAGTGTGTTTGCTGAGGTGAAATTTTAATTTTATGTCCTTTTCTGCTTCTGTTTGAAGAATGAATTTCTTTGCGACCCCTGGTACTACTTGAATACCATCCTCGGGAGAAAAAGGATTTCCACCCTGATGGTGATTTCTTTAATTTGTTAGTTCCTTGTTTACTAAATTAACAAAAAAAATAAAAAATAAAAAAAAAAGGAAAACATTAAAATTTTATACAAGGATAAAAGTATTTATATTAAATATTAAGCTAAGCTTACTTGATAGGTAAATCAATAACAGTATGATACTTCTCGGGAAGATTTTGAGGTCCGCCACCAACGTCAATATATTTCTGTTGCATGGGAAGAAGATTTGCAGAAAGAGCTCTTGACCTTGCTTCTTCTAAAGATAATAATTTTGTTGGAGTAGAAATAGCTAAAGATTTTGGTCGTATTCTTTTTGGACTTCCTAAAATTTAAATAAATTATTATTAAATCATCATTAGAACTTTGATAAGTTTACAAGCAAACTAATGATAAAAAACATAATATGCACCATCTTCTAAACAAGGACTCGGGAAAGCTGGTATTCTGTCACTAAAGATTAAATCAACATATCTAATCAAATATTCAGTTAAAATTGCTTGTACACCTACGACATGTAATGCTCCAACGCCACCACCCTCTACGTCTCTAGACCTATAAAGAAATTTCATATTAAAATTTTAATCAATAAGATTTAAAACTTTTTCAAAAAATTATTTATTAAAGAATGTTTTTTTTTTTTTTGTTTAAAGTAAATTATAAATTAATAGATGATTTATTTAATATTTTTATCATCTTTAATTATTAATTTAAATTGAAAATAAATTACTACTTAAGAATAAGAATTTGTATAATTTTGTCATAAAAACTGATATAAACATACCATTAATGAATGAATTATCTGAAATTTATTTATTTAAAAACTTTACATGCTGAAAGAATGAGATTTTTATTTTAATATTTTTGTTGTTATGATAATTTCAAAAACATTCCTTTTTTGATCACATAAAAAAGTCCAAAAATCCTTGTAAAATAAAACATTTTTTTTTTTTTACTTTATACAATTTCACTACAGAAAAATTTTACTTGAATACATTAATCTAATTTTCCATTATGTATTTAATGAAAGCAATGGAATGTCAGAAGTAAGTTGAAATGAATTTCAGTACAGACATTCTAGTTTTTGTTCCTATCAGAAGAAAGTTGCATTGTAGACATTATAAAAATGTTTTAATGTATATGTTATTTTTTATTTCTGAAAAACATTTTTTTTAAATATATGAAGTGGGAAAAGAGGTGTAAGTGACAAAATAGTTTTCTTTATTAAAAATAAAGAACAGTATTAATTTAAAAATAACATGATAATAAATGTCATTAATATGCAAATAAATATATCTATTTATTTATTTACATTAATAAAATATGATTTTTTTAAATCAATGTTAAATTTTAATCACTGATATATTAAAATTACACTATTTGTCACTTGTACCAATTTTCCACTGAACTCCTCATATGTATTATTTATCACTAAATCCAACTACTACTATTCACCATCAGGCTATATAACACTAATAATTAGATTTTTTATATGACATATATTAAATATTAATTTCACACCTTCCTTAAGTCTTCTAGTTACACACATTTGAATCAAATGGTACACTGTGGAATTTTGGAACATTGTACCATTTGTTCCAAATGATACAATGTTCCAAAATTCCTAGGTTTAAAGTCAGAACACTCAAAGTTTAAAACATTATATACTATTCGATTTGAACATGTAGAACCTAAAGCAGGCCATTAAACTAGGCCAAAAACATTTGTTTTTAATAAAGTATTGCAGGAAGATGTAAGGAAGGTGTGAAATTAATTATCGTAAAGTTCTAATTTTGAATGGCACAATGCTCAAAGTATATTAAATTTACTAACTCTAATTAACCAACTAACCAAATTTTTAGTTAACAGATGAAAAATATAAAATTTAAAAAGTATGTACCCAAAATCTGTACTCACAATCAGAAATATACAATTTAAAACAACGCTTATTAAGATCTTTAAATTTCTACTTAAGAAGATTACAAATCATTGTATCAATTTCAATGAAATAAAATTAAAATATGTATAAACTCCACATCAAGTTTCTTGTATTGGTTTCATACACAGAATTTTATCAAAGTCATTTTTCTTTTTACAGTAGTTTTGATTTCAAAATTCTAATTCCAATTTATATTCTTATACACAATTTTAAAGCAAATATTCTTCTGATTTATAAAACAAATTCCTTGATTGTAAGTATCAATCTTACGCAATAAAATTTGACTTAATCCACATTCAAAATTTGCATTATTAATCCAAACTTACAAAAAAGTATATTATATATTGACTAATAAATTTGTGCATTTCATCATCATTAATTTTACAAACATGTTTAAAATATGTTTGGCAATAAATGCTTTTGTTAAGTATAAATGATGTAATACAAATCTGACTGGATAGAAAAAATTCTTATTCAAAAGTATTAATCTATTTATTTATCAATATTATAAAACTTTTTTTTTTCATCTTTAATTCTTTCCATCCTGTGGACATAATGAGGGGCTTTATAATCATGATCAACATGAGTCTGACCCATAACAGAGGCAGCTGAGGTAATAGAGGGATAAAGTTCAACATATCCAGGACAGACTGTCCACAAAAAATTCCTGATATTGATCACCTGAATTCAATTCTGGGTCTCTCAGAGATACTTTAAATGCTTCAACCTACCAGTCATCATCATATAAAGCTATATATTTTATAATTCTAAGAATATTTTAAGTTGTTTTTGCTTGCCAATAGATGTTTATGTTCAATTTTGTGATCAGTTATGAGTTTAGAAAGTTTGAGTTATTATTTTTGTAAGTTGGATATCATAAAATTTTAAAAAAATGAATTAAACAAGCTCAATCTTAAACAATCTTTCACAAAAAAAAATTGTTATGAATTTCAATTTAAATACACAAATTGAAATTTTATTTTATCTGAATTCACAGGATTTTAAATTTCAGATAAAATAAGTAAAATTGAAAATTTTAACTATAGTTAATTTCAAAATTGATATATTTAAAACTAGGTTTATAATAAGTAAAAATACATATTGCTTCATTAAAAAACTATTTATTTACCTTAAAAGATTAGGAGCCCAGACAATAGCTACATTTTTTGGAGTCATTCCAGTTTTATTTCCATAAGCAGCGACTTTTGCAAGATGCTTCATTAAGAATTCACAAGTTCGATAGTGAGGAGGAGGAAGTTGTTGAATTACATCTCTTAGTTTTAATAATCTAAGATCATCATCAGATTGAACAGCTGCCTATCAAAATAATTACTTCTATTTTAATTTAAAGTAATTCATCAGTAAAATTTTATAACAAAATATTAAGATACTGATAAAAATTGCAATTTATATATTTGTATATATAAACTGACAATGAATACAATAATTACAAATGAACTAATTTTCTTATATCAAGAGTAATCTGAACCTCTTCAGAATTACTTATATTTTATTTTAAAAAAATCATTCAGTCCAAAATAAAGTTACAATAAAAACTAAAGTTTATTAATGATATTCAAAGTATAAAACAGACCACACAGATTTTAAAAATTAATAATTTATTATCAAACGAAAACAATTTGTTCATAATTTAAAACTTAAATAAATAAACTTAATTTATTTAAATTAATTAAATTTATATATAAATTCTTTGTTAATCAAAACTATTAAATTAGATATGCAATTTGGAACTTCTAGTTATTGATATTTGTTAATTAAAATCAAATTACTACTACTAATTGATAAATTGATATATTAAATGATAATTATTAATAACAACTTGAAACAATTATTGTATATAATCATAAATTTTCAAAATAAAATTTTGACAATTTATGTAATTTAGTTTCCAAATTATCATTATGAATTGAAAACATTTGCATTAAGTTATGCTAACTTTTTTATCATGTATATGTACAGATTATTAATAAAACAAAAAATTAGCAGTCTTAAGTTTATTTACTAATTTTTTAAATTTTACATAGATGGTTTTTTTCAACCTTTAATCTAAATATATAAAATTACTTATCCTGACTGACTGACTGATTGATTCATCATTGCTCAGAGCAAACCGCTGAACCTAAAGAGATGAAATTTTGTACACAGTTAGGGTACATCATGAAAACATACACTAAGAAAGGATTTTTCAAAATTCCCCTCAGGTAGAGAGGGAGAGGATTAAGGCTTAACCTGAAGAATGGCTTGTACTGTAATATTTTAGATGTGATTTTTTGTTTTTAACTGTTTGGTTTTCGTTGAGTACTTAGGTGTATTAAATTGATAACATTTCAGACATTGTTATAAATATTTTTATATATTTCAATTTTTTAACCAAATGTTCAAACTGTTTTAAATTTGAATTTGTTATTGCATATTGGTTCGATTATAGAATGATTGTAAATGTTCCAGAAAATTGATCAAATTGAAAATAGTTCATTTAATTCTCAGCAATTCTCATCATTCTCAGTGGTAGGTGTTATATAACAATTACTATGGTTGTTGAAATACTGAATATAAATGGGATTTGCTTGTAAAATCCACACAGGTAAAGTCGCGGGTAACAGCTAGTGACCATAAAACAAAGACAAGTGTAAATAAAAAAATGAATTTATTACCAGTAAGAGGTGGAACACATTAAAGATGTGAAGTCTTCCACCTAGCTTGGAATTTTTTAAACACCCAACGTACAGCCCCAATTTAGCGCTGAGCGACTTCCACCTCTTTCCTGAATTAAAAACATGGCTAGGAGGGCGGAGGTTTGAGACTAATGACGATTTTCAAAACAACATTAAGGCCGATTTCAAGTCACTAGCAGCAATATTCTATGAAAAGGGGGATTTCAAAGCTTGTCCACAGATAGACAAATGCCTCAATCTTCATGGTGATTATGTTGAAAAGTAACCATGTTTGTATCTAACTTTTGGTAATAAATTCATTTTGTTATTTACACTTGTGAACCATCGGAGGTCGAAAAAAAAAAACTGCCCTTGTAGTATTCTTTATTTTATAATTATTATTTAAGAAGTAACAAATTACATACAGCTTAATCAGAGCTACAGTAAAGATATAACAATCTTACTCTTGTTATATTAAATTTTTATACAATTAGAGAATATTAAAAATTATTTAATTTTCATGGAATAATTCTGTCTTTTTTACATAATATATGTAATAGAATAAAATGTAATAAAATGAAGTTATCATTTTATTACATTTTATTCAATTATTTACCATTTAAATTTCATAAATTTAAAAATTAATACATAAAATAAATGTATTCTAATACTTAAAATAAGTGGACATGATTATTTTCTCCTAATTTTTATTTGTAGGCTACTGAAAGAGTGATGTAGCTGCTTCACTGGACATGTTGGATGGATAAATGTTTTAGATAAGCAATTTCCAACTGGTGATATCACCAAATGCATATGCATTTGGTGGTTTAGGGAAATGCAAAAAAAAAATTTAATAACAACTGATATACTAAGAATATTTGAATTCTGCGTTGAGGCCTTTCGGTGACATCACGGCACTCGATGCTTAGTTTTAATCAGTTTCCTTCCTTCAATGCTTTGACTTAAAAAACTTTTTTATATGTAATTGTACAGTGTTGTATAATTGATTAAGATACCACTGCTTGACAAACACACTACATAAAACTTAGGAAAATGAGCTGCCAAAGGGTACATAAGTCAAAAAAGGTTAGAAACTGCTGTACTAGATATATTCACAATTTATAAAATACGAGATAGCCCGCGACACCCCTTAGTGGGCATTCTAGCAGCAGCGGTGTCATTTCGTGGTATAAATAATAAATTCCTATTACAAATAAAAATAATAATATACTGAATTATACTGTTATAAATAAATTATACTGTTAATGTAAATAATAGCTGAAAATCATCACTAGGGACTCCTCTAGTGGGCATTCTAGGCATTTCGATTATAGATTACAGATATACAAACAGTGGGATCAATAGCTTGTATAAGTAAATTTTATTGATCATTTGTTACTTTATACAAACTTTTTAATTTAATTGCACTACTGGGAAATATGTATTTTACAAAATTTTATTCAAGAAATCTTTCAAAACATTCTTCAAATGAAATAAATCATAATTTTAGCTACTGCAGTTTATTCTGAAATAAAATTTTTATGCATTTTTCATAAATTAAACATTAATCTATCAAAATCATAAAAAATAAAATTATTCATTTTAAAAAATATATAAAAATATCACAAATACTTGTATAAAAAAAATTTTAGTCTTCATTTTTGTCTTTGTTGTTAGCACACCAGCAACAGTTTTCATATACGGAGACGATCTTTTATTAGAGACTCCGCCTCTGCAATAAAATGCAAATGGTAAAAGAGTCCTCTGGCAATTTTACCAATATCTACTTTTAATATTTACAATGCATTTAATTTTTATTTACATGTATTATAAATATTGTGATATTGGCAAAATTGCCAGAGGACTCTTACCATTTGCATTTTATTGTAGAGGTTGAGCCTCTAATAAAAGATTGTCTAGATATATAAAAACTGTTTTTTGAACTGTTGTTTGTGTGTTAACAACAAAGACAAAAATCTTTTTGTACATTAGTGATATTTTTATATATTTTTAAAAACGTAAATACCATCGGCCAAATTTTAATTTTTACTTAAAATTACTCTATTTTTGTGTTAAAGAAAATTCAAAATCAATATCAGTAATGTCCAATTAATATGAAATTTAAACAAATAAAAAAAAAAAAAATACTTACAACAAATTTATCATATAATTGGTAAGTTAAAAGAGGATTTGGTAATTCACGAAAATACATTTTTAACAAAGAAGCCATGCAATGAATATCTTGTAAAATTGCTTCATCTGTTAGATCAGGTATTTTGTCCTCGTCGAATGCCAATCTAAAATTTTAACAATTAAACAATAATTATTTTAAAAATTAAGTTAAATGTCAGTATTTATTATTATAGTAAAATTACTGAAAGCTTTTTTTTACTAATTGTTAAAATAATCATCAATCGTCTCAACTTTTTGATTTATTTTAATAAACTTTTCAGCTTGAAAACATTTTTAATGACAGTAAAGATACAATAAATAAAATTATACTTTTTTGTTTCATCAATATTTTTTAGATAATTTTTCTGATGTATTTATAAACAAATCTTCACAATCTCTTGATCAAAGAGCATGCTATGACTTTTTTTTAAAAATAATTTTAATGATTTTAAAATGTCCTGTTTGATCTTATTATGAAAAGTATTAATCTTTTAATCTTTTTTAAAAATTATTAGAAAAATAATAATTATTTCTGTAATCTTATAAAAAAATAATAATTATTTTTATAATAAGATTATAAAAATTAAGCCAAAATGAATACTTAAAAAAATCATAATATTACATAATCATTAAGAATATCAATTTTTAGTATATTTTCAAAATACAGTAATAATTACAGCAAATAAAAAGTTAAATTATTTATAAATGTAAAGTATTATGATTAGAGTAAATAAGTGCAGTTTAATAATAAACTATGTCAATTGTTAGAATTTTTGTAACAAAATTATTTAAGTATTCATTTCAAAAAAATTTTATGTTTAGATTAAATTAATCTTCTTATAAAAATTTATAATGTATCAAATACATTTTACATTAAAATTAAATAAAATAAACTGAAAATTATACAATTAAAACCTTTAACAATTAATCTTCCATCTCTAATTTTTAAGAAATCATAATTAGTAACATTAATTTTTGACTATTTAATTATTTTCATATTTAAAAATAACAATTTACTTTAATATTTAATTATTCAAATAAATTTTGTCTTTCTTGATCTTATTAAAATTAATTCAAAATTAAAATTATTAATCTACTTAAAAAGTATATTAACAATTTTACTTTTGAAATGACTTTTAATATGACAAAAATAATCTCCATCTCTCAATAATATACATATTTTGTATACAGAATTTTCAAAAAAATTATGTAACATGTTTTTTTCAAATTATAGAAATGTGAAATGACCCCAAAAATAGAAATAAGAGTTTAAAATTTTGTTTAGATTTTTAATAATTGCATTTATATTTTTAATTTATATATATTTTGTAATACTTTCATAAAACTATTTTCATACTAATTATTTTTAAATTGAAAAATAATTACTGTTTTAATCTTTAGTGTACAGTATCTATTTTCATTTGTACTTGAAGACATTTTTGTAATAATAAGAGTAAAAATAAAAGTAATTCCACAGTTTTACTCTAACAAATTCATTAAGTGTTGCATTCTTCTGTGAAATGAATTTTTAGAAAGTTTATCCTAGTGTTTATTTTGCAACAACCATTTGAATGTAATATTATATTATTATTATTATAGGTGAAATTAAATAAAATAAACACTTGTTTTAATTTACTAAGAATTGACACACAGTATGATCTTATTATACACAGGAGTTGCATGACAATGGGTATTGCATAAAATAAATTTTCAGTGTTTTATTCCAAGTAGTATCTCAGATGATTGCCTAGACACTTGTGCAACCTTTTGCAATTAACAAAAAACAATTTAAAACATTTTATTTATGTTATTATAATAATGAATACCATTTTGATTCAATATTTCTGAGTCTATAGAGCAAAATTTTATTACATTGTATCAAATGCATTACTTTAGAAAAATACATGCACAGAACTACTAAATATCAAAGTGAATAGCATTTAGTAGTTCACTGTGCTTGGAACTGAAAAAACATGTTTAGCTGACTAAAGTCAGATTAAGAGGCACTAAGAGTATTACATGTCAATGTGACTGTCTTTTGGAAGAACAGTGGTAGAACAATGCTGCTTCTTGTTTTAATTCTCTAAATATAGTTGTGTATGGTATTAAAATATCCAAACTAAAGGAATATAACCCTTTCAAGTTTTTTTCCTAACATTTAAACCCATGGAATTGTCTCTTCCAGTTTTGAATTACAGTTTTCTTTTAAAATTAGGTGGAATAACTGATGGTTACACCAATTCAAGTGAACAATGAATCAAATCAATGTGTTTCAGAAGGCAACATTATGTGAGCAAAGTTTTTTTTTATCTGTAATCATCACTGGCAAAAGACATTCATCATGCATTCAGTATATTAGAAATAGACACTACAGTATATAGATAAATACTTCATGCATTATTCAAAATATTGTATACATAATCAAATATCATATAACAGAAAGAATGATGACTAAAAGATACTGAGCACAATAATCAATCACACATGATCTAATCTCTTTCCGTCCATCTTAGAATAAGTGAGACAAAACCTAGAAGATTAGCTTTAAGAAACAAATAATAAACAAATGGTAATGTTTTAAAAAGAATCCAATACTTCAAAATGATCTTTTATCACATCAGTTTTCAGAACAAAGATGTTCAAATTTTAAAAATATAATATGCAGAATTCTTAAAAATAAATGCTTTAAAAACTTGATGAAAAACATTAGGAATTGATAAAATTCACAGTCATTAATACAAAAGATTTAAAGCATTAATAAATATTTTTCTGAACATTTTGCTACTTACATTGCCATATAATCTATTAACAATATAGCCTGTATAAAACCCAAAACTATATATATAAGCAAATGTTCAATAAAGTGATTTTATCATCTATTTAAACAAACTCTTTAAATGTAGCTAGAGATATCTACATAAACTAATCATAAAAATAACATTCTAAATGCAAAGTTTGTTGAAAATATCTACAGAAATATTAAATAACAGTACCGTTAATTTTGAGCTGTTTATTAGAAGTTTGTAAAAGGCATAATTATTTGTAATATATATACAGAATATAAAAAAGCATTTTATAATATATGCATATGATTTGTATATAGTTTAAAGTTTGTAATCATCAGTAGTCTCTTACATCATATCAGGACTGTACAGAAGCTAATTATTATTAATATAAATATATCCACAAAACTAAATATGACAATGATATATATTTCAGAAGAGTCATTGATATTTTATATTTTACCTTATCTTAAGTAAATAAATATTGGTCACAATGCCAACAACTAATTGTTTACATGGATAATATTAATTGCATGCACACACAAAAATCTGTTTTTGAATGTTAAAGATATAAATAATTCAACAAAGTAAGTAAAATGCAAGTACTTTTATTGATTTTAATTTCATCTTCATAAATATAATCATTAATGAACAACTTGTAAAATCAAAACCATTCACACTTTAGCAGTAAATTGGTTTAATGAACAAATATTTTCTGTTTATTTTATAAATGTGCCTCAGGTTCAAACTACTAAATTCCTAAATTCCAAATTGGAATGTTTCAAACATTCAATGACATTTTTAAAACATCGTAATTTTGTATACAGAAAGATTTGAAAAAGTATTTTATATATTAATGAAAGACACAAAATAATATATAAATAAAAAAAATAAATCTAATAAAAACACAAATAAAGTGAACAATAAAAATCCATATATTTGAAGTTTAGACTATTCACAAAAATATAATATTTTCGAGTCTATATTTTAATCTTTTAATCCAACCACAGAAGTAACAGTTACAATGGTTTTGAAGAATAAATTTCTTAACAAAGGTAAAAATAGGTAAAAAAAAAAATTCACAAAGTTAAAAAAGAATAGTCTAAACTTCAAATATATGAAGGAAAAAATATATCCTGAATCAACATGTAAATAAAAATCCAATATGCCTCCATCTTTTCATGTATGATTAATCTGTGGAATTACTACAGAACAATGCCAAGCATTAGCTAGGGATTCTGAGTCTTTACAGTTAATACAACTATTTTTTAACATGGTCTTGAATATCTCCAATGTTTCAAGTGTTAAGTGATAATCATCATATTAATTTTATTATTTTTACTTCATTTAGATTCATGAACACCCCAGACTTTGTTACATATTGAGCTGAAGTGGTGTTTACTGTTATTTATGTCATATTTGTGTTCATATATTCTGCATTTTCAAGATCTAATTGTTGACCCAATGTGCATAAGTTGGTAATTAAATCTTTTGTCTTACCAGGACTGAATATACGCTATGGGCATTTTGTTGTCTATTTCATCTTTACTTTTGTGTAGCAATTTGTAGATTGTGGCATTTCTACAGAAGCATAAGCTAACATTTAAAAATTTAGCAATTCATTTATAAATCTATTTGAGTTCAAAATCAATAATTATTTGCCTAATTGTTGGCAGATGTGGTTGTGCATTGGTGATCTCCAGGTGTGGATGCTTCATATGTTTGTATTCCATTTTTTTGTGCCAGGTTTTGTATTAGCTTTTTATCATATCCATGTGTTATGGCTATTTTTTCTAAATATTTGAGCTCTTTCATGCTGTTTGTGATGTCTGAACAGTGTGTATATATATGTTCATCTGACTGGAGCTCCGAATTCTACAATTTTATAAGCAAGTATGAATGGAAAGGTATGAATAGTGGATGACAATACATTGGTGTTCTACAAACCACATTAATATATATATTCTGGAGAGTCATGGCTATATCCAGGAAGTGAGCCACTGTATTGTTGCATTCATTTACATTTAAACTTAGGTGATAGGGGTTATTGTTAAAAGCATTAACTACCTTGTTGATGTCTGGTTTTGATTTCCATAATATCAGAATATCATCTACAAATCTGCTGAAGAGGATAATTTCTGGTATAAAATCCCTCAAAACTTCCATTTTCAAGATTTTGCTACCAATTTGCATAAGTCTCCTGAAGGGGACCACTGATAAACCCCATTTTTGGGCACAAGTGTTGTTATATTTAAAAAAGGCATAACATAATAAGTGGGCTAGTTCTATTGGGTATATATATAATTCAAGGCTTGTATGCTTGGATTTTCTGCCTTAACATTTAAAATAAGTAATAATAAAGTAAGTGAAAATTAAAACCAACAAAGCAAATTTTGGAAAATGAAAAATTTTGATGAATGCCGAGATAGATTTAATTTACAAGTAGATAAACAAAACTAGAGGTTTATCACATTTTTGATGGCTACAATGTATGTAATCAATAATCTTTTAAATTTAGAAATATTATATTGCAAGAATTGTTGAAAATGGCTTTCACAATTTACCTGATAATGATAAACCGGAAATCAAAACATTGAAAGAACATAACAAAAAAACCCTTAATCTTAATTCTAAATCTAGAAAAACAAAATACAAATTGTAGTTTGTTCAGAAGTTTATTTTCTAAAATGGAAAGATTCTTGATTACAATTCAACTCCATATTATCAGCACACAATTATGAAAGGAACATACTTGAATAGGACAATATTGTTAACAATAGATAGTAAACAAAATACAATTATCAAAAACAATACTGTACTGTACATATCAGACTACAAATTCTTGCTCATATAGATAGCATATCAATATCACTCAAAAATTAACTACAAAATCCATGTTTCTATACAGACAGACTTATAACACAAGTTTTATTCATTTTCAGATATCAAAACTGCATTGGAAAAAAATTCCCACATACATTGCAATTCTTTATACAGTAATAGCTCAGATGTAATATAATTAATTATTATAGAATAAGGCTCTATAAAACTTACATAATAAGCATAAACTAAGTATAAAATCATTGATAAAGTTATTTCTATTATTAGTAAATTATCTAATTGTCGTTTAAACATTTTTATATGTTAAAATCAAAATAAATTGGCAAAAAGATTGACTGAAATTTTTTATTAAAACCAAATAATTTATTCCAATACTTTACTGGTTAAGAATAATAAATGATATGATATAAATAATCAATTTTGGTTTGTTTCTGAAGATTAATGTATAGATACACATGCAAGTTTACCTTTGCAAAAATTATGAAATTTAGCATTAGAATATATGATGACTTTTATTATTACTTAATATAGAAGCAAACTATGCTGTGTTCTTATGTTAAAATCAAGAGATGAAATGATTAAAATGAACAGTTTTGTTACTATAACAAAATATTTGATTTTTCTATTAAATACTCACTTTAATAATACACATGTTAATTTTAAATCATAAGTTAATAAAAATAAACTAATTTGCTTTACTCTTGGTATCATAAACAACATATTTATATGCATAAATTAATTTTCATATTTTATATTATATTCCATTACCGACTTGAAAAATACTTCTTACCGTAATTTTTGAATGTTTGACGTTACTCCAGAAAGCCTGTAAATTCCATCAAGAATTCCATGCTCTTCTATAAATTCTGTACAACATTTTAAAACAAGTGGAACTAGAAAAAGACAGAAAAAAGTGACATTAATCTAATTATTAATTTAATAATTCTAACTGTTCTTAAACTAATAATCAGATATTAAACATTCATACAGAAAATACTTATAATTATCTTCAGATTGAATTTCTAAATTTTGTAAAGGAATTTCTAAAATATTTAATTTTTATTTCGATTTCTGTAATGATTATGATTTTCTTATAAATTTTATCAGGTTATCAAATAAATAAAATAAAATATAAGGCATTACATTTTACTTTATTGTAGCCTACTTTGAAGCTTTTTACTTTATGTTTCACAGTAAATGTAACAAACATAACTGGAGAAGATCCCAAAAATAAAAGTAAACACACCTCTTAATTCCAGCAAGATGTTTTAATAGAGTAAAAACGTTTTCGACCATGGTTAATAGGTTTTCTTCACTTATAACAAAAATAACTTTAAATGAAGTGAATGCAAAGAACATCCCAATATAAATAGAATATATAGAAATTTTTTAACTCAAAGAAAATCTTCATTGAACAAACAAAAAAATAAAGTAATGTAAAAATAACAAAAATAAAATAGCAATATACTGTATAAACACTACAGCATGAAACAATTACAGCAAGTTAATTTCATAAGTGGATCTCCAGTGGACAATAAGGTTTTTGAGTCATTATAGTTGATATAAAAAGCCAATAGTAAACCATATTTTATTTCCAAAGTCTCCAAATACCTGACAGCATTACAACTCCTGATAGGTTAATTATTTTAGCATCCTCCCATTTCACCTGTACATCTTGTTGGCTGGCATAAGCTGCTAGGATTGTATTGCCTAATTTTCCTTTATTTGTAAAATAATGTATATTACTGACATACAAAAAGAAAGGAAATTGGACAATACAATCCTAGCAGTCTAAGAAATTAAGCTCTCTAAATAAATTAAGTGGTAACAATTTTTTAATATAGTACTACATGGTGATTAAAAAAAAATACTATACAATTCAATTAGTAGAGGTATTTTTAAACTCTACAGTATTTGATATGTAAAGACTCACAATAAAAATAATAATAATGATTAAGTGGTTAGTCAGTAAGTATTTTCATTAAAGAGTTGATGGGAAACCATATGAATAAATGAAATTAAGCAGTAAATGAATTATCAGGCAAATAAATTAAAATGTAAAAGTAGTTTAGTTTTATTCTTTTAAGTTTAAAGTCTATACTAAATATAAAACATAATACAGTAAATCAAAACAGTGTACTCACTGTAATAGTCAAAACTTTAAAATGGCAAGAAATTTACATTAAAATATATTAATTTGAAAAATTTAAATAATCTATAGATAAAATTTTTGTAATAGTTAAAAAATTTCTAAATAAGTTTCATAAAAATATTCTCTATTTTTCTGAAATTGTAAAATGTTTTATAATTCTTATAACTAACACTTACTATCACGTCCTGTATTCATTAAATGTTCTCCTAAGTCACAACCAAAAACTCTCTCTTTAAGAATTCCGGTCTGTTTTAATTTACGTCGAGAAGGACGAGAAAGAAGAAACGAACGAAAAAATGCAATTAATTTCCCATGTTTTCTTAGAACTGTAAAAATAGATGTTAACAACCATTACAAAACATATTTATATATATATTTTAACATTCATCTTAATTTTACACTTTAAATTAGGAACAACTTAAGTTTATTAAATACACAGTTATAATTAAATGAATATGATAAACATTTACAGAATATGATATAGATTTTTATTTACAAAATATTTCCATGAAAACAATTATTAAATTTACTATTTGCTATTAATTAATAAATTTTTTGTCTTTACATAAAAATTACTTAAAGCAAGTAACAGTACTGATATGAAAGCATTTTGTTCTGTTGCTATTTGTTTTACACACAAATGCAGAAGACTTTTTAAATCTCTTTCCACTTTTAATTTAATAAGAGACAACATTAATGTACAAAGTACTGTACATGCAAAATGTACATTACATCTTAATACATAGTATAGTAATTATTACACTGTATTTTCATTGTTATTAATAAATATAGAATTTATTAAAGAAAAAATAAAATAAAATTTAAAAGATTCTTATATAAACATTACCAAAAAAATGAATAACTGTTACTCAAAAGCATAGTTTGCAATATCATATTGATAGCAATTTAATTTTCAAAAGTAGAAGGCAAACTGATCAAAATTATTTTAAAAAGTTTATACTTTTGTAAACATTTCTAAATACATTAGACTCTGCTTATTATAATTACAGATAATAGTATCACTCAGTTATTTTAATCAAAACTGACAAAATTGATAAAATAATATAACTGACATAACATTTAACATACATAACCCACGTTAGAATATACTATAAAATCTTTATTGTAATCAGAATTTGATTATCATCATTATTTGAAAGTTAATAGGCTTTTTTTTTTTTTCGTTTCATCAGTGTCAATATGTGGCTGATAACATGTAATCATTATAAAGCTTTGATTAAGATTGATAAGTATTAAAGGTTAATCATTTTAACCCTGCAGTGGTCATGGGAAAAAATAATGTGAGCAGTCATCTGGCACATGTGAGAAGTCAATTTTTAATTTATAATTATTCTAACTTGGAAGTTATTAAAATATTTTAAGTTTTAAAGAGATGCTCATTTAATTAATATAAAATAGATTTGTACACTACAGAGTTTAAAAACTGAAGCAAATGAAATAAAATTCAATGAACAAATTTAATTAATTTTGTTTCATTCATTCAATACAATTTAAAAATTAGGACAATTAATTCAAACAATCTATTACTAAGGATTTTTAATGCTTACATTCTAGAAATCATCAAAAGTAACTATAGTCATGTATTTACTGTTTGATAATATAAAGTCAAAGGGACTTAAAAATTGGTATTTTTTATTAATAAAATTCATGTTAAGCAAACTTTACAAAAATAATCAACAGTCATACTATCGAATAGTGAAAGCCAAATTTTCTCCCAGTCATTTCACCATCTTGTTTAGATATGTTTAAAGAAATAAATAAACAAGTGTTACTCCATACATTTACCTTATTGAGATACAGTGGAATAAAGAAGACAGCAATATGGCCAAGCAATTAAGATAGAAGTCTACCACTCTGGGGAACCCAGAATCAAATCCAGATGGGTTGAAAACCCCAAGAATTTCAAATATGTTAGCCTTCATTTGTCATCATCCAACCAACCAAACCATAATGGGCTTGTTTAAAAAGAAACAAAAACCTTTCCTTAATGCACACAGAGAGGAAGGAGTTATTGAAAAACAAAGTGGCATAAAGAAAGAAGCAATACTCCTTTTTTCAACATTAACTAGAGTTGATATAACAGTCTAACCTAGCCACCAAATAAAATCCTGGAACTGGATATGCATAAAAATTTTACAAATATAAAATTAACTTATTTTGTTGGAAACAATTCATTTTTAGTCTTAAAAGTATGAACTTATTGTAATTCAGTTGTTTTGCTATTTCCATTATTAAAACAATTAATAATCAGGGCTAATTTGTAAAACTACAAATTTTTAAATAAAAAATCTTCCAATATGCCAAACCAGGCCAGCTTCTTCAGTCAGAAGGCCATAATGATTAAGACATTGACCTACCAGTCTATGAGAGCAGGAATCAAATCAGGAAAGGTCAAAAAACCAAGGAATTTTTCAAAGGATGATCTTTCCCAGATATGTCTAATCTGTCTCTCATCGCCTATGATGGGTCTGGAAAAAAGGCCCTCATAGTGCCTACAAGATAAAAACAGAAACAAAGAGACTCCAGTCTCCAATGCACATGTCAACTGAACTAATTGTTCAATGTTGTCACAGCATACAAAGCACTCACTGACTATAAGAGAAAGTAATTTTTGAGTTGGAGTGAACATTGTTTGTGGCATATACCAACATCTGCATTGTCAATGACAACAAAATTGATGTCATAAGAATTGTGGCCAACATTAAAGTTGAAAAACATGCCACAGTGGTTCTTGCAACTTCAATAAAGATGCAAGCAATGTGCTTTGTATTAAACAAAATATAATTGTTATTGAATTTATGAGACCAAGATATGATTATATTACGTATTAGCCAAACTCATTAACCATGAAATATCTATCCTTGTCTAGAGGAATGCAAATCTACTTCACATTAAAGTAGACTCTGCATAAATTGATAACACATGGTTTTGACTGTATTTTATTCATTTCACTGACCTTATTAAAAATATCTATTATTTAATTCTGCTTGTTTCATTTGAATTGTGAAATACACACACAAATCTTAAAAAGTTTGATATATTTTTGATTTATGATACATAAATTTTTAAACAAATAAAAACACCTTTAACTAAAGGCCTTAATTTAATATTACATAAATATTTTTGAAATTTTTTAGTTATTGTAATCAAATGCATATTTTGTCTTTTGTTCAAGTGAAGCATTTGAGAATAATAACTAAAAAGTTATCTATGTTAAATTAAAACTTATTTAATTAAAAAAGACATTCCTATTTGTACTTAGAAAGTTTCTGTCAAGTATTATCATGGATAGCACCTACTCAAGAGTTTAGGCTGAAGAAAGGAAGTGAGTGAAGGAATAAGAAAGAGGAGAATTCTAGCAAGTATATAAATTCAAATCTTTGATTTAAAATTTACTTGACAATGCATCCGGTATATTTATTAAATAATATTTATAAAATACATAGTTACAGTAATGCAATTCTACTAATATAACTTGACAAATTAAATGGAATAACAAATTTTAAAAATATCTATTTCTTATCAAGTCAATTTTAAAATCTACAAAGTATTTAAATGCTTTATAAATCAAATAAATTTCCAGGATTTCAACACTTAAAAAAATATGAAATCAATACAAAGTTTTTCATCTCTATGTTACAATTTTCTTACTTAATTCATAAATTTTGTCAATTAATATTGATTTTAAAACAAAGTATTATATTCATTTAGCTAATTTGAATCTTTGATATATTGCATTTATAGAAAATTGCTCTTTTTCATTACATTGAGAAATCTACAAATACACATTTAATATGCACTTTTACAGTATACTGCTTAAGGATGGAAAAATATACAAACTTCATATGCATGTAAATATGGAAACATTGCTTACTTGACATAAAAGCAAACATCATTATTCTTGTAATATTTACTCAATAAGTAGCATTATAACATATGTATAATGTTACTCATTATTATGAATTTTTTTGTTTGGAAAATACAGTACAGTGGGTGATCGGTTAATGAACACTTCCGCAAAAGATTTTTATGATCGGACAATGAATACATGTTCAGATAACAAACACTTCACTGAACAAACATAAAACGAAGCAACGGAAAATAATGAATGCCAATTGATTTTTCCTTGTCTTCAGGTAACAATTTGAAACCTTTCAGAGTGCAGGAGATGTCAACATCGACGCTCAACCCAATACTGATCAGATAGTGTTTCCCTGAACTCTCCATTGAAATTCCAGCTTTTTGTTTACTTTTCTGACAAATAATTTTTTTTATAGTCTTTGCGAGACTGTCGGGCACTCCATAAGTTTTGCGTCAGTTTTTATTTTCTAAAGGTGAGAGTTTAACTGTCCTAACGGGTATTCGTTAACATTTTAACACCAAAATTTCAAATTACATTCGGGCCTCATATTTACATAATTCTTTCATGTGCTAGTTGATTTCTGTTCTCTGAATTTTTGTGAATGCTTTTCTGAACTTTTTATTTCAAACAGAAATTGATAATATTATGGAGCATAAAAAGAGTGGTGTCAAGAACCGTGCTCACCATAGAAACCAAGCAAGAGATAATAGCCAAAGTAGAGAGTGGGCAGAAGATGTCTGATGTTTCTAGGCAGTATGGCAGTATGGTCTACAGTAGGCACAATCTTAGCTCTGAAAGATATATCAAGAAGTCTCAAGCTGCTAATGGAGTAATGAAAATCACATCTGAGAAATAAAGAGAATTTTAGAGTTTGTAATGGAACCTGAAACTGATCTGATGACAGAAGAACACCAAGAACTCTTGAATGAAGAACACCAAGTAACTCTGCAAGATATGTTTTCTTCTGAAAAAGAGGATTAATGCCAATAACTACTGTTAAATATCTTTTAAAGAAGTGGGAAGATGTCACAACAACTGTCTTAGAATGGCATCCAAACCAAGTTGAGGTTAATAGGCTTAGGAAGCTCTACAATTATAATGCTATTAATTATTTCTGAAAAATCACAAAGAAGAGAGAAAAGCAATCAACATTAGACAGATTCTTTAACCCCACAAACAGAAAAACATTAATAAAAATCAAGACTGTGTATATATGTACTTTTATTATTACATATAAATAAATGTAGTAAGAAAGTATATATTTTTTTATTTATTTTTTGGGTTCTCCAGAATGAATTAATCAAATTCCCATAAAAACCTATGGTAAATCGATAATCGGTTAACAATTCAGATGAAAAATCTTGGAATGGATTATGTTCGTTAACCTATCACCTACTGTACTTCAAAACAAGCAATGAAAGAATATTTTAAATACTTTCCCAA